TCAACTCCGCTATGCTATATAATCGGTTACTTTCAATTATTTTTTATATAAAAATTTTGACAAAATTATTAACTATCATTTAATTCAACTATAAATATTTTGTACTTATAACTGTTATTTTTACACCAACAAAGTAAGCAGATAATGTGTTTATTAATAATTTATACAAGACAATTATTAACATTAAATTTGTTTATTAGTACAAAACGATTTTATATGGAAAAGTAAAAATAAAAGAATATAATTCAAGTTTTGAAGCGACTCGTCAATCTTCGTTTGAACTATTAAAGTGTAACTTTTTTACAATAATTTTATAGTTATGTTTGTAATCAGTAGACTGTAAGTAAAGATTTTGTTCTTTAGCATTATACAAAACTCTTTCAAATCTGTATAGATCTTCCTGTACATCAATGTATAGAAACTCTTCGTCGTTTAAAGCTGACGAAATGTAAATCTTACCAGAGCGATAATAAACGCGATACAGCTTATCGTAAGCAACAAACGTGAACCTATAATTAAAATTATTCGAAGTAAAATTCAGTTTTGACAAAACTTTTAAATTATCAAAATCCATTTTATAACCCACTAAAACAGTGTCTAAATAATCTATTGTCTGACTTATAACTTCAAATGCCCAGAAAAAGTTATCACCGTGAAATAAATATACGAAATGTTTATTCTCACCGAAATCGAATTTATCTCCAAAAGTCAACTTCTCTGTTTCAATGTTATACTTGATAATTCTTCTTTCCGAAAAATTCTTATGTCGACCATAAATATTTCCGTTGTATCCAATAATCCCCCAAACAAACACTTGTTCGGGTAATTTAAACTCTTTCAGTATTTTCACTTCTCGTTCTTCATTAAGTCGAAATTTTTTCATTAAAACGTCACCCAATTCTTGTGAAATAATCTTGTAATTGTCTTTTAGATCCTCTTCGATATTCCTAAATATTGACCTATATTTTCCTCTGAAATGAAAACTGAAGTTCTGATACTGAAAAGTCTCGTCATCTGTAANGATTTATTATTTAGTTAAAAATAAGTTGCATATTTATTCAATATTATTGAAATGATAATGTATTTATCAACATATATTACACCACAATTCATTCACTTTGAGTTAAAATTGAACCATTTAAATGTTACCAGATAATTGAAACAATTGTCTTTTGTAAGAGAAATTGTTTTATTACCTCTGTCAATGAGGGTTTTAAAAAGATGTTTCTGACGCGAAGTTTAACAGGAATGTCGAAATCACTCGAAAATTCCGTGTTTTCAATTAGGCAAATGTAATTTTGTGGAAAAGAATAAAGCTTTTAATAATAGAAATCAAAATACGTTATCGCATTTAAGTAGAAAGTTTATATGCTACTAATATATTAATCGTTAGAGCAATTTCAATCAATAAAATAGTAACAAAAACAACGTTCAATCTTTAAAAAATTAATCAGAGATTTGTTTCAAATAATAAAATATTCAAAATTACTTTCGAGACAACGAAATCGTGTACTATTCCGAAACCATTAAGTAAACACTAAAAGCTTATTTCCTTCAAATAATCTATGAGAAAATTTTCGTCAAATGTGAACCTCAAATTGGTATTTACATTTTCTAATACAATAATAACAAACAGATGTAGGAAAAGCCTAAAGATGCGAGGTTAAAACAAACACGCTATAATAATAATCAATACTCAATAGAGAGGTTGTGGCCGACGTTTTCAACGCGAAAACGTGTACGTCGGACGTTCAGCGCCGCCTTCCTGTAAGCCTAGAAGTTTGACAATGGCATTTAGAACGTCCAGCACGATTCCACTGACGTTCCAAACGCCATTGTCAAATTACTAGGCTTACAGGAAGGCGGCGCTGAACGTCCTACGTACACGTTTTCTCGTATAAAATGTCGGCCGCAACCTCTCTAATATATATTATAAAGGTAAGTGTACAATGTGAGTGCCGCTAAAACTCAAAACGAGTCCCAGTACGATCAAGGGAGTTATATGGTATGGCAGCCCTCTATCCCCTATCCATGAAGAAGGTTCCCGTTTCTACCCGAAGGCGTGCTGTTGAAGATATAAGAGCTGGAAGTTTTGCCCTCTAAAAATTTCTAGAACAGTCCAGAATATTCTAGAGCATTCTACAACATTCCAGAATGTTCCGGGATGTTCCCGAACGTTCCAGAACATCCCGGAACATTCCAGATCATTGTGGAACATTCCAGAACACTCTCGAACGTTGTGGAATGTGCTGGAACGTTGTGGAATGTGCTGGAACATTGTAGACCATTCGAAGCTTTTTTTTGTATTGGTGGGACTCTCCATTGGTGGGGGTATATAAAGCAAGATCCGTCATAGGTTCGAACGTCAGTTTCTTATCTGTGACGAATGGAAGAACCGAAAAAGAAGTGAAAATTCCGAAGTCCGTGGAACATGTGTCGTGCTATCCACAGAGAAATAAAAAAGATACTGTATTTGGAGAGATGATGACATACTGTATGTCTATTATTAGATATATGGCAAGGAAAAGTACTGTATTTATTTCTAACGAAAACTTTCATTTTGTTTGTTGGTGTTCGTGACTTATCGCGTAGTTATGACAGAATTAAGAGAGAGAGGGACAGAATTAAGGCTTCCCATGAAGAACTCCGCTTCTATTATACTATTTTAGATGCGGTTTTTTGCGTTTTTGAATACGTATTAATAAGGTACGTCACGAGAATGTACACTAAGAAGGGATTTTTCGAAATTCCCCCCGCGGGAACACTTTCATTGTTAACACTACTCCGCGGGAAAGTGTAAACAATGAAAGTGGTTAAGTAACAATTGAAGTGTTAAGAGAAAGCGACTTGCAAAATTTACAGGCGCAAATGCGGTTTTTTTTTTTTTGCATTTTTGCGACAAATCGAACATATTTTTAGAAACATCTACAAATTCTCTAATTAGTCTGGAAACAGGGCAACCTAATTCTTGCATTCTGTGAAAACGGGTAAAATTGACTGTAATGTAATAATCTTAATCTTTGCTATCATTACTTTCTGCCCAAGCAACGCTGGGCATATCTGCTAGTAAACACATAATTCTAATTTAAAACAGTACACAACTCTAAGATTAAAGTCAAAAATAAAAACAATAGAATAACTGTGGCGCTTGAGGTTAAAATACAATAAAACATCAAACTGTATTAAAATACAAATTAGAATAACATTCTGTGAACCCAATTACTGCTTTCATAGCAGAATATAAAAAATAATAAGAAGAAAATTAAGGAATTCAGTTCAAATTGAAACTTTTTAAACGAAAATAAAAACAAAATTCTACAAAATGATAATATTTCAACATAAATGTTTAAATAAATATTTCTAAGCTAATGTATTTATAAATACCCAATTATAAGGCACAATACAGTATATATATTTTTCGTTTTTGGCTCTTTTTGTCCTGTAGGCTACCGTCCACCAATGGACGAGTAGATAAAACCAGTGAAGGCCGATCAACAGGCTGGCCAGGTTTTTTTTTTGGGTTTTCTTTATGTTTGTAACTGTCACGTCGTGTTTCACACAGCTAGTAAAGAGCGAGTCAAGCGCAGCGCCCAAAGACTTGGCTGCCCGATTTATAAGCTGAGAAATCGCGGGCACTTCTCTTCTTTGGTCCTGTTCTGTACATATAAAGGTTAACATTGCTACAATAACATCTAATTATCAACTTAAAATATTATATTTTTAATATTTAATTACATTAATTAATATGATTTCCGCATAGTGTTATTTTAACTTTACATTATATTTCCTTGAGAAAAAATGAATGTCAAATGAATTGAGTAATACACAAAAATCAGATAATCTGTAATAAATTATGCCAGGGTCGGACTCTATTAATCGATCTACGATTAGACTATGTACTATTAAACTAGTGTTATTAAAAAAAATAACTCGGGTGTTCTTTGTTAGACAGCCATTGCAGAGCCATAGGGCGAACGGAGCAGCCGCTCCATACGCTAAATCCCAGTGGGCGCCTCAGTGGTAAAGAAAATTAAAGGGTATAAATTAGGGGCAACCAAGGGGGTACCATAATAGGATCTCAATCTATCTTAAAACTTGCCTCGGGTCGGCACTGCTACAGAGAGCCAACACTGCCTCCGAATTAGTGACAACAATTAACACATGTTGTAAACAGGGAATCGGCGGAAAAAATATACGACTCCGACTCTCCATCCCTGGTTGTAAACAGCTTGTAAATATATGTTGAACGTTAGAGGGTTCATGGTAGTCTATATTTTTCTCGAATCCGAGTTAAGCAAGAATAATTTGGGGCAGATTAATTAACAAAGACTAATAGCAGGGACATAACAAACATTGTATTATATCATTTAAAATCGACGAGGACCATCTACTCCAACAAACTAACCAATTCCGACGAATCAGTTCCTCACTTGGATCAGTTCAAACAGTTCCAGTTCCTGAAAAGGAATTAAATTCCTCACTTTTACTTACAGTACTAGACTTTCTGGTTCATTAGCGAATAACTGCAATTACTAGAAATATTTTCTTGACGTTGTTGTCGCTAACAATGCTAAAAAGACGTCGAATGCATCATTTTCTTTTGTGGTTTTTCGACCATCGGAATTTGACCCGAGTCTTCCAGAGAGGTAGGCTGACACCTTAACCGCTCGGCCATCCTCCCGTCATCGAGACCGATGCTTTGTGTGCCACTGTACCGGAATAAGAGTTAAAAATAGAAAAATAAATTACACAATAATGAAATATTTAGCATCGTTTTAAGCCATTACATATTTTACAATTCTATATCAATTTACAAAATATAAAAAAAAAATTAAAACAAATATTTTTAATTCGGATAAGCAATATAATTTCTTTTTTAAAACATCAATTTATTAACAAAAAATATACACAGTTTATTTATTTCTAAACAAATTATTTTCATATATTCTAGTTTGATAATATAAATTTATACAAATTTAGAAATAAGCATTAACATTTTGCCAATAAATTCACGAAATGACGTCACTATCAGTCTTGTTTACCACTAAACATCATGGCGAACATTAGAGTGCCAGAGTCGCTGAAAGCAGTTCAACCTTATATTAGAGCGTCTATGGAACACCGTCAGAGAGATATTGTCGTTTCCTATTGGTGTAAGTATCCTCAACGCTTCAAAGACGTTTTCAAAACAAACAGTGTGACGTAATACAATTAATGAAACACAGACGAAATTGTCTACTTGGATTCAATTGTATCAATAACTGTGTGCAAAATTTAAACATGGATTTTATATTATTAAATAATTTGATCGTTATTATTTACGTTTTTACGATGATAATATCGGTTTATATATTATATTAAAATACTTTTCAAAAAGTACATAATATAAAACTTAACAGTTAAAGAAAAATAATATGTAACTGTTAACACACTAACAGCACTGATAGAAGATAATGTGCTTAAATTTAGATTTTTTTCAGTTTTTACTAATGATATTCATTATCAACTAGCTTATGTACTGTACCAGGGGTTGCTCCTGTAAAACGGGACAAAGATAAAAGATTATATATAATACTGAATTTGATTTGTTGAAAAAGCTTATACATAATCAATTCGTACATCTAATTTTCTATTATATACAATACATGTGCACTTTTTAATTTTATAGAGCATTTTTGATAAATGATATTTTTTGTTTTCCTTCTGGTGCATATATAATTTTTCGGAACTTCTGAATGGAGCAAGCTATATGTGGGTAGCTATGAGAAAAGAATGGACTTTCCAAGTCCATACCAACCCACTTTTAATGATTGTTGTTGTGCTTTTTTTATAGTTGTTGCAAAAGCTAATCTGACCGCATAAACTAAAATGGTATATCTATGGGAATTAATAGAGAAGTTGTGGCCGAAGTTTTCATCTCTAAAACGTGAACATCAAGTGCTGCCATCTTGTAAGCCTAGAAATTTCACAATGGCATTTGGAATGTAAAGCGTGGCGAGTAGAAGTTCGGCTTAAACGTCTGCATTTTTCTGTGTTTTGGGTTAAAATTGTGACGTATTTTATTAAAATAATGATTATTTAAGCATTTATGAATAACATTGTAAAGAAACAGACGATTTTAATCCAGAAATTATTTAATTATTCAATGTTTTTGCAAGCGATGTGAAGTGCCTATAGAATTTTTACATATTTGTACTCATAATAGCTTATCATAACACTGTAGAAGTAGGTTTGTTCTTTTACGGCATCTTCTACCATCAACAGCATAATTTGTTTGTAAATTTCTAGAAATAGTTTAATTTATTTACCTTTGCTGGTAACCTTCGTCACTCTTGAATGTTTCTGACATTTTTTTCAACAATATCTCATGAATCAGTGATAGACGTCAACATGTGGCATAACGTGTTTTGCTTGGAGTTCAAATATCAAACATATATTTCTGCTTGCCCTACAAGTTTAAAGTTTGAACTTCAGACACAACCTCTCTAATGATATTCTTGGAATTAACACATCTCTCGCTGCACGTTCTGTTAATATTTTTTTCCCAATGACATTGAGCATCATTTTTTTATGATCATTCTCATCCCATTGCATAACTCTGGTGGGTCCAAATTTCACAAAAGCATTACTGGTGCTCCAACCTTTAGTTCTAGGTTATGAGTTGTGGTCCAGCTGGTTCCAAGGAATTTAAAACTCCCAACAGATACAGTGTACAACAGCTGAAATGTGCTTGGATATACAAATTCAGTTCAGCAGCTCATTTTTTTTAAATGCCAATATTGCTCTCTTTATTGTTTATCCATTTATGGTTTATGTAGTTGTAACATATAGTTTCAGTCAAATCTCTGGGTGATGACAATAGCTTGCAGAAATCCATAGCAAGTGCTATTAAATTACTATCTGGATGTTCAGTGAATTTACCATCACTGAGATGCAAAAGTTGTTTATCAAAAATTCTCTGCAGATCCAATAGATGGACCTTCATATTTGTTGAAAAGCAACTCTGATGCCAACACAACATGTGCCACTTAAAGATGTGTCTCTCACTTGTCCATCTCTCTATATAGCTTAGTGTTGATTCTAGAGTCTAAGTAATACACATACAAACTTTAGTCCAGATCAATTTAAGAATAGATTTGTATAAAGGACAAACCAACAAGAATTCATATATATATATTTATTTATATATATATTTAATCACTCATTTGATTATTGTTTCATTGACAGTCATTATAATTACTGTTCATAATACTTTGTGATTAATTTTGCATATAATCATTTACCAAAAGCATTTTTTTTTTTATTCTATCTAAAATATCTTTATGAAAGAGAAATATTTTGTGGGATAAATAAATAGGAGTTACTTAATATAGGATATCAATGTAAAACAGAACTTATCTCTAATATAAAGTAAATACAGTATATGCTGTTCAAGAAAATAAAGAAGTGATGAAGTCTTAATGTGAAAAGATTTTGTTGTTATATCAAAACATTTTTTGTGTTTGTGATGAAGATTTTTATGTTAATTATATATCAATAATTAACATAAAATTTTCTAGACAGAGAAAAATATTAAAAATGTTCAGATTGAATGAGGTATTGCTTCCTTCTCATTTTAGTATTATATTTTGAAACTATCAATATTTTAGAATCAATAGAAAAATAATGTACAAAAATAAATTGGCATTCTTCAAACTTTAATGCACAACTACTGTTTATGACTATTTTTAATAACCTTCATCAGGTTGTCCTATAAATGAAATACTTTTTTAAACAATGATACACAAATTAGAACAAAGAATTCCAAAATGTATTTTTGAATGTGGGAACGTTTTTGAATGGAACATTAATTGTAAATTAAGAACTGACTATTACATCAATAGATTTAAAGAAAACTTATTTACACTCATTTACAATACAATTAAACAGAAAAATTAGTTAACCTAACCCTTAATAAATTACAGTTCATATCAGTTATGTTATTATCATCAATTATATAGCTGTGGATGCTTATCTGAACACAAAATTAATACAGAAGTAAACAACCAAATACAAGAAATGAGCAATGAAGATGAAGTAGATTCAGTCAAGGACCAATATCCTTTGTAGTAGTTGTTGTAGTTTCTAGAAAGCTAAAGCTCTTTCTAGAAACAGCTTTAGCTTTTAAGGGGCTTTCTAGAAACTACATCTTTCATAAAACAAAATGCTTTTGAAATGGTCAAATGCATCAAAAAATTGTTGGGTAAAAAGTAATAAATCATCATTAAACTCTTGTAACTGACTTTCCATTAATAGTGTCAATGTTTTGTTAATTTGTACAGTACATGTGTATCTAAAAATTTATACATATATTTAAGTCCAACTATATTGTTTCTATTGTGATATTTACAACTATTAACCTTAATTTTTAATACATACAACTTTTTAAATTTAAAAAGTTGTATGTATTAAAAAGGATTTAAAAATTAAAGTTAATAGTTGTATGTATTGCAAATGATTTATCCAGCATTTGTGGGTAATTGTAATTGTGATATTTATCTCATTAAAATAATCATAGTTTCTATAATTCAATATTTCATTACTTAAAAAATTTTTGTCTTTCAGCTTAAAGTTAACATCAGTCTAACATTTAAAGCTTATTATAATTTTCAAAAAAGTAAAATTTCAGGGATGTAGCTACATGGGATGGCAAGGGGCAGTGTTTCCCATACTAACTCTCTTCTACCTACTCTGCCTTCTCTTCTAGCTCCTACTAATGATAATTGTCTGGTACAAGTCTGTTACAAGACTTTGTACACAACAATTTTTTGGTGTAGTTGATCATTTCAAAAGCATTTTGTTTTATGAATGATATAGTTTCTAAAAAGCCCCTTTAAAGCTAAAGCTCTTAAGGAGCTTTCTAGAAACTACAATAAAGGATATTTGTCCTTTCCTGAATCTACTTAATCTTCATTGCTTGTTTCTTGCATTTGGTTCTTTACCTTCTGCATTGATTTTGTGTTTATATAAATATCTATAGGTAGCTATGTTGTTGGCAATATTGACAAAATCTTCAAATGATATTTCATCACTCAGTTCTATAATGAGATTTCCCAGTTTTTGATATTGTTGAAGGATTCTGATGGAAATTTAGATTTATTTAAAGCATGAACAAGCTGTTGAATGGAATCTGCTTTTGTAAAACAATTTGCAATGATGCTTTGTGGAACATCATTCCAAGTGTTTTGATTATTAGCATTGTATCTAGCGGGTTCATTCCAAATTTATGTGATCCGTCTTTAATAACATGAAACATCTTGCACACGATAAGCTTTCTGTATCATAATTTAAAGTTTTGAATGATTCCTTGATTTATAGGTTGCAATCTAGAAGTTGTATTTGGTGATAAAAATTCAACTATTATAGCTTTCAGAGTAGGAAACATTGAATGCAAACTGCAACTGTTGATAAAAAGAATAATTTTTTTCTGTTTTCAGCAATTAGATGGATGTCTTTTTCATGTAGTTAGAATAAAGCTCTGATGTCATCCATAGTTTTTGTTTCTTACATACTTCAGTAACATCTTTGCACTATGGAAACATCAAGATGTTAACAAATAATAACAATTGTAGTTTTTCTATTACCTATAATGTTTTACATATTCTGTACTTTTATATTTGTGACGTACATTGGAACCTCGTTTAACAAGCATCTCTCATAATGAGTAATTTGCATAACAAGCAAAACAAATTGTAAAAAAATGACTTGCTCAACGAGTGACAAGAAGAGAGGAAGTCCCAGGTTGTGCATATGTTACATCAGTCTGTGTTTAGCACTTGTTCTGCTGGCATCTTAGTGACGCTTGTGATTCATTTTTCCAAACTTGTGTTCAGACATATTACGCATAAACATCAACAACCATAGTCCATTATATAAACACACCAAACAATATGCTAAATTCTTGGGCTATGTAAAGGATATAATTAATTAAATATTAGAAATTAAATAATTTGACTAGAGATAGTCAGTTATGCTGCCATCTTGTATCAAATTTAATGACTAATTCCAAATTAAATTTTTTTGTTTTTTGTTTGTTTTCTGCAAATCGAATTTGCATTCCAGGTTGGTTGGTTCATTCCATTATAGAAGAAAAGATGACTCTTTAACAATGTACATTGTATAATTTTCTTTGAATAAATGTTATACATAAAATATTTGAATATTTCTTTNAAATAATATAGGCCTAATTTGTTATACGTATGTATTATCTAAGATTTTATTAAACATTTTTTTCTAAATTTTTGTTTTCTTTAGTCTCCGGCCCCAATTAAAAATTATTTGTGTGTATTTATATGCGAAATTATACCCCGACTTACGTGGTTATTGCTCGGTCCCACCTATCGCGTAAGTTTGGGGTATTACTATAATTAATTGGAAAAAGAAGTAAGAGGTCTAGTTATATGAAGAAGATAAAAAAAATGGATGAAAAAGTCCTGAAAAATTTATCAATAAAAAATTGACTCATATCATTTTAGTGATTTTGCTATTCTTCTGATCTTAAATGGAATACTCTGAAACTTGGAATATGAAATTCATTTGCAATTTGTGATGTTATTTTTTTTTCTTCTTGCTTTTCTTTAATCTTTATGACACCTGTATTGTTATTAACAAAATGTTTAGTTTTCTCTTGCTGCCATTCTACCTGTTACTTTGGAATGAAAATGCCAACATCTGATTTAAATGTTAGAGAAATTTTTACAGTGTGAATGTTTAGTTATGAACAAGGAGACATGTATAAAAAAACTTATTAATTTGACTGGCCAAATTTTGTAAGTTGTTAGTTAAATCACAAATGTGTTTGTTACATTTTCAAATTTTCAAAATCTATAAAATTTTAAAATTCATGATTTTAAAGCATTAACATATGAATAGCAGTGGAATTTGGAAATATGATGTCCCTAAGCCCACAATATTCAACCATCCCCCAAACTAATAGTGCATTTTTGCACTGAATGATTTTATTTTGTAATTTTCACTCTTCAATAGTTGTATTTTTACAATTTTTTAAATATTGAAATCATGAAAAATAAATTTATTGTCTAGGATACTAGTACAATAAAATATTAATTGCTATATTGGTTTAATTGAATATTTTTTATAGAGGTTAAATCAAACTAAAATTTTGCTAAAATTACAATTCAATTGAAAAAGTTAACATAGTAGCGCACATAAATAATCTTGCACAGCTCTGATAACACTTAAAATTCAAAGTTTGTGCACAAGTATGTGATGTCTTCAAGTTTAGGCTGTCATCATCATCTACAACCTAAGACATTATAGACAAATTGTATTAAAATGAATGTAAATTTATGATGATATAATATGAATAACATAAAAATATTATTAAAAAAACTTTTATTATAACAAAAGAAAGATCTTCTCAAAATAAATTATGAATGTCTCATTTTGACTTAGTGTTTATAAAGTGATATATTTTAATTTTATTGCCATCTTTACCTTCAGTTGGAATGAAGCTAATGACAGCAAAAACTGTGGATAAAATTATAGTTAAGGAAAGGAACACAGATAAGAAAAAATGATTTTATTAAAGAAATTAGTGAAAAGTGATTGGAATATTGAAAAACTGTATAATATTGAAAAAGTATTTGTATCTGTTTAGCCTGTTTAAAGGAAAGCCCACAAAGAGGAAAATATTGTAATTTCTTAAATGCATCTGAGTAAAATAAAGTTGTTGATGGCCAGTATTTTTAGAGTCTGTGAATGTGACAACTTGAACAGTGTTTGAACCAGTTACATATTGAAATCAGCTATAATGTACTAACAACTGCCATAAATCACAAACTATAATTTGGAATAAATAATTATAAGTTACAAATGAATTTACGGCAGTTGTTGGAGTGTTGTTGCTTTGTATTAGGTTAGTAGGGTTGTTTATATGAAATCAGCTATATTCTCAAGTTGTATTTTTTTAATATTTACTATGTTGTCTTTGAGTTTGTTGTTTTGTATCAGATTATCATTGTTTCTTTAAACTGAATATAAATCTACACTGTTAAATGAAAAGTTTTCTCAAAATTTTAAAATTCAATTTACTATAATAATATAACTTTTTTTGCTATCAAATGACTTGTTGAGATTCATAAATATGACTTAATTTAAATTTAATTTATTTGAAATAACTATAATATTTTTATTTTTGAGATTATTATTTATTCAATTATTTATGATTTATTAATTTCTGTTGAGAGGTAGCTGATTATCAGTACATAGAGTATAGCTGTTGAAATGTAAATAAAATATAACATTTTAGCTTTGTTTTAAGCTAAGTAAAATTACCAAAATAGTTTACATGAGATTCATTGGTAATTATTGTATACAGTAGAGCATCGATTATCCAACCCCCGATTAACCGTCACATCGGTTAACCGACTGTTCTAGTCGGCAAAATTCAAATGTCCACTAGTGATGTGGCACTACAATATTTTGACTGTCTTGACTACTTTAATATTATTTTTGTTAAATTTTTGCGTGTTTTAGCTGGCAACACGTCTTGACTATTGAAGGGCGGCCAGTACTTAAACGAGACTTAATTTTCTAATTATGAGTGGTTGTTTGTTTTGTGAGCAATAAAATAACTTAAAAATAATTTTTAACGATGCAATAGCGACGATTATTATTTTAAAAAAATTGTTAGGATTAACATCGATGAAAATTTAACGTAAAGTTAATTAATAGTGATATACTAATATACTAATTACATGGGATATACTAATATACTATACTAATAATGTAATTTTTTCATTCTTTTCGGTTATCCGATTTTTTCAGTTATCCGACCAACCTGAGTCCCCAATTCAGTTGGATAATCGATGCTCTACTGTAATTTAATTTTATATTAATAGAAATTCGTATTGTTTAATATAAATGTTAATGTATATTTATTGATTTGTATTCAATATTAATGTTGATTTCTACTTTATAAATATCATATGAATTTTATATTTCAGGTTATTTTTATGCTTGTCAGTCAGCATTGAAAATTGATAAAAGTTCAGAAGAGAGTGTTGCATTCTTAACAGCAGCTTTGGATTGGTTGGAAAAGGTAATTTTTAATTTTTTAAATGAAGGATGATAATTAATCAATCTTGACTTTGTATAGTTTCTGCTGTTTTTATTAGAATGGAAAATTGTTGATTTTGAATAAAACATTTTTTACAGTTTGATTTTATTTCAAAGAAAAATGATACAAGAATATTCATGACTTATTTTTCTTATTTCCAAGACATTTTTAAAGAATTCTAGTCTTGTAGTTCTCTAGTATCTTCAGAATTTTTGCAATTCAAATTTTATTTNTGCCTCGGGCCGGCACTGCTACAGAGAGCCAACACTGCCTCCGAATTAGTGACAACAATTAACACATGTTGTAAACAGGGAATCGGCGGAAAAAATATACGACTCCGACTCTCCATCCCTGGTTGTAAACAGCTTGTAAATATATGTTGAACGTTAGAGGGTTCATGGTAGTCTATATTTTTCTCGAATCCGAGTTAAGCAAGAATAATTTGGGGCAGATTAATTAACAAAGACTAATAGCAGGGACATAACAAACATTGTATTATATCATTTAAAATCGACGAGGACCATCTACTCCAACAAACTAACCAATTCCGACGAATCAGTTCCTCACTTGGATCAGTTCAAACAGTTCCAGTTCCTGAAAAGGAATTAAATTCCTCACTTTTACTTACAGTACTAGACTTTCTGGTTCATTAGCGAATAACTGCAATTACTAGAAATATTTTCTTGACGTTGTTGTCGCTAACAATGCTAAAAAGACGTCGAATGCATCATTTTCTTTTGTGGTTTTTCGACCATCGGAATTTGACCCGAGTCTTCCAGAGAGGTAGGCTGACACCTTAACCGCTCGGCCATCCTCCCGTCATCGAGACCGATGCTTTGTGTGCCACTGTACCGGAATAAGAGTTAAAAATAGAAAAATAAATTACACAATAATGAAATATTTAGCATCGTTTTAAGCCATTACATATTTTAGAATTCTATATCAATTTACAAAATATAAAAAAAAAATTAAAACAAATATTTTTAATTCGGATAAGCAATATAATTTCTTTTTTAAAACATCAATTTATTAACAAAAAATATACACAGTTTATTTATTTCTAAACAAATTATTTTCATATATTCTAGTTTGATAATATAAATTTATACAAATTTAGAAATAAGCATTAACATTTTGCCAATAAATTCACGAAATGACGTCACTATCAGTCTTGTTTACCACTAAACATCATGGCGAACATTAGAGTGCCAGAGTCGCTGAAAGCAGTTCAACCTTATATTAGAGCGTCTATGGAACACCGTCAGAGAGATATTGTCGTTTCCTATTGGTGTAAGTATCCTCAACGCTTCAAAGACGTTTTCAAAACAAACAGTGTGACGTAATACAATTAATGAAACACAGACGAAATTGTCTACTTGGATTCAATTGTATCAATAACTGTGTGCAAAATTTAAACATGGATTTTATATTATTAAATAATTTGATCGTTATTATTTACGTTTTTACGATGATAATATCGGTTTATATATTATATTAAAATACTTTTCAAAAAGTACATAATATAAAACTTAACAGTTAAAGAAAAATAATATGTAACTGTTAACACACTAACAGCACTGATAGAAGATAATGTGCTTAAATTTAGATTTTTTTCAGTTTTTACTAATGATATTCATTATCAACTAGCTTATGTACTGTACCAGGGGTTGCTCCTGTAAAACGGGACAAAGATAAAAGATTATATATAATACTGAATTTGATTTGTTGAAAAAGCTTATACATAATCAATTCGTACATCTAATTTTCTATTATATACAATACATGTGCACTTTTTAATTTTATAGAGCATTTTTGATAAATGATATTTTTTGTTTTCCTTCTGGTGCATATATAATTTTTCGGAACTTCTGAATGGAGCAAGCTATATGTGGGTAGCTATGAGAAAAGAATGGACTTTCCAAGTCCATACCAACCCACTTTTAATGATTGTTGTTGTGCTTTTTTTATAGTTGTTGCAAAAGCTAATCTGACCGCATAAACTAAAATGGTATATCTATGGGAATTAATAGAGAAGTTGTGGCCGAAGTTTTCATCTCTAAAACGTGAACATCAAGTGCTGCCATCTTGTAAGCCTAGAAATTTCACAATGGCATTTGGAATGTAAAGTGTGGCGAGTAGAAGTTCGGCTTAAACGTCTGCATTTTTCTGTGTTTTGGGTTAAAATTGTGACGTATTTTATTAAAATAATGATTATTTAAGCATTTATGAATAACATTGTAAAGAAACAGACGATTTTAATCCAGAAATTATTTAATTATTCAATGTTTTTGCAAGCGATGTGAAGTGCCTATAGAATTTTTACATATTTGTACTCATAATAGCTTATCATAACACTGTAGAAGTAGGTTTGTTCTTTTACGGCATCTTCTACCATCAACAGCATAATTTGTTTGTAAATTTCTAGAAATAGTTTAATTTATTTACCTTTGCTGGTAACCTTCGTCACTCTTGAATGTTTCTGACATTTTTTTCAACAATATCTCATGAATCAGTGATAGACGTCAACATGTGGCATAACGTGTTTTGCTTGGAGTTCAAATATCAAACATATATTTCTGCTTGCCCTACAAGTTTAAAGTTTGAACTTCAGACACAACCTCTCTAATGATATTCTTGGAATTAACACATCTCTCGCTGCACGTTCTGTTAATATTTTTTTCCCAATGACATTGAGCATCATTTTTTTATGATCATTCTCATCCCATTGCATAACTCTGGTGGGTCCAAATTTCACAAAAGCATTACTGGTGCTCCAACCTTTAGTTCTAGGTTATGAGTTGTGGTCCAGCTGGTTCCAAGGAATTTAAAACTCCCAACAGATACAGTGTACAACAGCTGAAATGTGCTTGGATATACAAATTCAGTTCAGCAGCTCATTTTTTTTAAATGCCAATATTGCTCTCTTTATTGTTTATCCATTTATGGTTTATGTAGTTGTAACATATAGTTTCAGTCAAATCTCTGGGTGATGACAATAGCTTGCAGAAATCCATAGCAAGTGCTATTAAATTACTATCTGGATGTTCAGTGAATTTACCATCACTGAGATGCAAAAGTTGTTTATCAAAAATTCTCTGCAGATCCAATAGATGGACCTTCATATTTGTTGAAAAGCAACTCTGATGCCAACACAACATGTGCCACTTAAAGATGTGTCTCTCACTTGTCCATCTCTCTATATAGCTTAGTGTTGATTCTAGAGTCTAAGTAATACACATACAAACTTTAGTCCAGATCAATTTAAGAATAGATTTGTATAAAGGACAAACCAACAAGAATTCATATATATATATTTATTTATATATATATTTAATCACTCATTTGATTATTGTTTCATTGACAGTCATTATAATTACTGTTCATAATACTTTGTGATTAATTTTGCATATAATCATTTACCAAAAGCATTTTTTTTTTTATTCTATCTAAAATATCTTTATGAAAGAGAAATATTTTGTGGGATAAATAAATAGGAGTTACTTAATATAGGATATCAATGTAAAACAGAACTTATCTCTAATATAAAGTAAATACAGTATATGCTGTTCAAGAAAATAAAGAAGTGATGAAGTCTTAATGTGAAAAGATTTTGTTGTTATATCAAAACATTTTTTGTGTTTGTGATGAAGATAATTATATATCAATAATTAACATAAAATTTTCTAGACAGAGAAAAATATTAAAAATGTTCAGATTGAATGAGGTATTGCTTCCTTCTCATTTTAGTATTATATTTTGAAACTATCAATATTTTAGAATCAATAGAAAAATAATGTACAAAAATAAATTGGCATTCTTCAAACTTTAATGCACAACTACTGTTTATGACTATTTTTAATAACCTTCATCAGGTTGTCCTATAAATGAAATACTTTTTTAAACAATGATACACAAATTAGAACAAAGAATTCCAAAATGTATTTTTGAATGTGGGAACGTTTTTGAATGGAACATTGATTGTAAATTAAGAACTGACTATTACATCAATAGATTTAAAGAAAACTTATTTACACTCATTTACAATACAATTAAACAGAAAAATTAGTTAACCTAACCCTTAATAAATTACAGTTCATATCAGTTATGTTATTATCATCAATTATATAGCTGTGGATGCTTATCTGAACACAAAATTAATACAGAAGTAAACAACCAAATACAAGAAATGAGCAATGAAGATGAAGTAGATTCAGTCAAGGACCAATATCCTTTGTAGTAGTTGTTGTAGTTTCTAGAAAGCTAAAGCTCTTTCTAGAAACAGCTTTAGCTTTTAAGGGGCTTTCTAGAAACTACATCTTTCATAAAACAAAATGCTTTTGAAATGGTCAAATGCATCAAAAAATTGTTGGGTAAAAAGTAATAAATCATCATTAAACTCTTGTAACTGACTTTCCATTAATAGTGTCAATGTTTTGTTAATTTGTACAGTACATGTGTATCTAAAAATTTATACATATATTTAAGTCCAACTATATTGTTTCTATTGTGATATTTACAACTATTAACCTTAATTTTTAATACATACAACTTTTTAAATTTAAAAAGTTGTATGTATTAAAAAGGATTTAAAAATTAAAGTTAATAGTTGTATGTATTGCAAATGATTTATCCAGCATTTGTGGGTAATTGTAATTGTGATATTTATCTCATTAAAATAATCATAGTTTCTATAATTCAATATTTCATTACTTAAAAAATTTTTGTCTTTCAGCTTAAAGTTAACATCAGTCTAACATTTAAAGCTTATTATAATTTTCAAAAAAGTAAAATTTCAGGGATGTAGCTACATGGGATGGCAAGGGGCAGTGTTTCCCATACTAACTCTCTTCTACCTACTCTGCCTTCTCTTCTAGCTCCTACTAATGATAATTGTCTGGTACAAGTCTGTTACAAGACTTTGTACACAACAATTTTTTGGTGTAGTTGATCATTTCAAAAGCATTTTGTTTTATGAATGATATAGTTTCTAAAAAGCCCCTTTAAAGCTAAAGCTCTTAAGGAGCTTTCTAGAAACTACAATAAAGGATATTTGTCCTTTCCTGAATCTACTTAATCTTCATTGCTTGTTTCTTGCATTTGGTTCTTTACCTTCTGCATTGATTTTGTGTTTAGATAAATATCTATAGGTAGCTATGTTGTTGGCAATATTGACAAAATCTTCAAATGATATTTCATCACTCAGTTCTATAATGAGATTTCCCAGTTTTTGATATTGTTGAAGGATTCTGATGGAAATTTAGATTTATTTAAAGCATGAACAAGCTGTTGAATGGAATCTGCTTTTGTAAAACAATTTGCAATGATGCTTTGTGGAACATCATTCCAAGTGTTTTGATTATTAGCATTGTATCTAGCGGGTTCATTCCAAATTTATGTGATCCGTCTTTAATAACATGAAACATCTTGCACACGATAAGCTTTCTGTATCATAATTTAAAGTTTTGAATGATTCCTTGATTTATAGTTTGCAATCTAGAAGTTGTATTTGGTGATAAAAATTCAACTATTATAGCTTTCAGAGTAGGAAACATTGAATGCGAACTGCAACTGTTGATAAAAAGAATAATTTTTTTCTGTTTTCAGCAATTAGATGGATGTCTTTTTCATGTAGTTAGAATAAAGCTCTGATGTCATCCATAGTTTTTGTTTCTTACATACTTCAGTAACATCTTTGCACTATGGAAACATCAAGATGTTAACAAATAATAACAATTGTAGTTTTTCTATTACCTATAATGTTTTACATATTCTGTACTTTTATATTTGTGACGTACATTGGAACCTCGTTTAACAAGCATCTCTCATAATGAGTAATTTGCATAACAAGCAAAACAAATTGTAAAAAAATGACTTGCTCAACGAGTGACAAGAAGAGAGGAAGTCCCAGGTTGTGCATATGTTACATCAGTCTGTGTTTAGCACTTGTTCTGCTGGCATCTTAGTGACGCTTGTGATTCATTTTTCCAAACTTGTGTTCAGACATATTACGCATAAACATCAACAACCATAGTCCATTATATAAACACACCAAACAATATGCTAAATTCTTGGGCTATGTAAAGGATATAATTAATTAAATATTAGAAATTAAATAATTTGACTAGAGATAGTCAGTTATGCTGCCATCTTGTATCAAATTTAATGACTAATTCCAAATTAAATTTTTTTGTTTTTTGTTTGTTTTCTGCAAATCGAATTTGCATTCCAGGTTGGTTGGTTCATTCCATTATAGAAGAAAAGATGACTCTTTAACAATGTACATTGTATAATTTTCTTTGAATAAATGTTATACATAAAATATTTGAATATTTCTTTTGTCAGCATGGAACACATTATCGTATTTTACATTAATTTATATGGGAAAAATTGTTTCGCTTAACGAGTGTTTTGCAATATGAGTAAAATTCTGGAACGAATTATACTCATTAAGCAAGGTTCCACTGTAAATCACTTTTGAACACTACTGTTTACATTTAGCAGACATTTAAAGAAATGATCTCATTTCATCTGCATTGAAAACATCATTCAGCTATAGTTTTGTACAATTTCTGGTGAACTTTTGTATCACTTTATGCAATTCTCCTCTTTCACTTGCACTCTTGCTACATTTCATTAAAAACTATTTCATGCCTCCTCTTGAATTTATCCAGCTACCTGCTTCTTGCTTTGAATCTGGTATGTCCCAACTGTTGTCTTGAATTGTTCAGCTTTCTCTCTCTGAAGTTTTCTATCAGCAGGAATATTTTTGTCTATAGGCCTACTTGCAAACCACTTCAGTACACACAGCATCTGGATACTTACATTTATGCTTGCTTTACTATTCTGTCAGATTTTGTGGTTCATTGAACCTGTTCCTTGTTTTTCCAGATGAGTAGAGAGAGTACTTAATGGAATGTCAAATCAGAAGAAAAACAAAATTCCTAAAATTATGGGAATCAGTTTTTTATTGGTAAAATGTTTTTTGGGATTTCTTCATTTCATCTTCAGACCATTTGAATTTGAAATACAGTAATACCTCGACTTACGCGAACCCGGAGTTACTCAATTTTCAAATCTCTAAATACAGAACCTGTTACCGAGAGAAAAAATTCCAACGGAACACTTTGAAAAAGGGAATGTAGATATTTAAATATCTACGTTCCATTTTTTGAAGTGTTCTGTCGGAATTTTTTTTCTTTTCTTTTCTCTACCTGAAGAAGAGTTATCTCGACAGCTCAAACGTTTGTGAAAGGAAGATTTTTTCACACAAAATTACACCGGTAACAGATTCCGTATTTAGTATTTCATCCCCGGTGTCAGAGTGAAGTTAATTTACTTATCAAATCTCGTCGATTCCTCTTTTGTTTGAGCACCATGCAACTCTTAATTCCCTCCACACTTTTGTTCGGCTTCTTGTTCGGACGTGTCGAGCGGAATCGACATATAGCTACAATTTATTTTGTGTTATTTATTTATGTGTTTGTTATACCTATGGAGACTCGAGAGACTCTACTATGCCATCCAAACGAAGTAAAACTGATTTTTCTGCATCAAACAAGAAAAGAAAAACTTTATCTTTGGAATGTAAAGTTAACATTATTAAAGACTTGGATACAAAAATGAAAATTTGTGAATTGGCAAAGAAGTTTGATCTACCGGAATCGATGGTCAGAACAATTATAAAAGGTAAAGAAAAAATTCTCTAAGCTGTAAAAAATGCTTGATCTTTAAATTCAAGCATCATTCGTAAACATTACGGTAGTATCCCTGAGATGGAAACAATGTTAAAATTATAGTGTGATAATCAAGTAAATGTGAAAAATTGTATAATAATATAATTTGTTATACGTATGTATTATCTAAGATTTTATTAAACATTTTTTTCTAAATTATTGTTTTCTTTAGTCTCCGGTCCCAATTAAAAATAATTTGTATGTATTTATATGCGAAATTATACCCCGACTTACGCGAATTGGACTTACACGGTTATCGCTCGGTCCCACCTATCGCGTAAGTTCGGGGTATTACTGTATTAAAGTGATTGAAGAGGATTTATGTATGACTGAAATATGTATTCCACTAAACAAAAAACTGTTATTGAAACTTCATAATGCAATCAATATGCATTATGCTATATGATACCTTCATGAATTCAATCTTAGAGTATAAAGCATATTTTTTTAAATCATTATTAAGTATGAACATGTTAGTTTTTTCCCCATTTGCATTTGTTTGGAGNTGGAATGAAAATGCCAACATCTGATTTAAATGTTAGAGAAATTTTTACAGTGTGAATGTTTAGTTATGAACAAGGAGACATGTATAAAAAAACTTATTAATTTGACTGGCCAAATTTTGTAAGTTGTTAGTTAAATCACAAATGTGTTTGTTACATTTTCAAATTTTCAAAATCTATAAAATTTTAAAATTCATGATTTTAAAGCATTAACATATGAATAGCAGTGGAATTTGGAAATATGATGTCCCTAAGCCCACAATATTCAACCATCCCCCAAACTAATAGTGCATTTTTGCACTGAATGATTTTATTTTGTAATTTTCACTCTTCAATAGTTGTATTTTTACAATTTTTTAAATATTGAAATCATGAAAAATAAATTTATTGTCTAGGATACTAGTACAATAAAATATTAATTGCTATATTGGTTTAATTGAATATTTTTTATAGAGGTTAAATCAAACTAAAATTTTGCTAAAATTACAATTCAATTGAAAAAGTTAACATAGTAGCGCACATAAATAATCTTGCACAGCTCTGATAACACTTAAAATTCAAAGTTTGTGCACAAGTATGTGATGTCTTCAAGTTTAGGCTGTCATCATCATCTACAACCTAAGACATTATAGACAAATTGTATTAAAATGAATGTAAATTTATGATGATATAATATGAATAACATAAAAATATTATTAAAAAAACTTTTATTATAACAAAAGAAAGATCTTCTCAAAATAAATTATGAATGTCTCATTTTGACTTAGTGTTTATAAAGTGATATATTTTAATTTTATTGCCATCTTTACCTTCAGTTGGAATGAAGCTAATGACAGCAAAAACTGTGGATAAAATTATAGTTAAGGAAAGGAACACAGATAAGAAAAAATGATTTTATTAAAGAAATTAGTGAAAAGTGATTGGAATATTGAAAAACTGTATAATATTGAAAAAGTATTTGTATCTGTTTAGCCTGTTTAAAGGAAAGCCCACAAAGAGGAAAATATTGTAATTTCTTAAATGCATCTGAGTAAAATAAAGTTGTTGATGGCCAGTATTTTTAGAGTCTGTGAATGTGACAACTTGAACAGTGTTTGAACCAGTTACATATTGAAATCAGCTATAATGTACTAACAACTGCCATAAATCACAAACTATAATTTGGAATAAATAATTATAAGTTACAAATGAATTTACGGCAGTTGTTGGAGTGTTGTTGCTTTGTATTAGGTTAGTAGGGTTGTTTATATGAAATCAGCTATATTCTCAAGTTGTATTTTTTTAATATTTACTATGTTGTCTTTGAGTTTGTTGTTTTGTATCAGATTATCATTGTTTCTTTAAACTGAATATAAATCTACACTGTTAAATGAAAAGTTTTCTCAAAATTTTAAAATTCAATTTACTATAATAATATAACTTTTTTTGCTATCAAATGACTTGTTGAGATTCATAAATATGACTTAATTTAAATTTAATTTATTTGAAATAACTATAATATTTTTATTTTTGAGATTATTATTTATTCAATTATTTATGATTTATTAATTTCTGTTGAGAGGTAGCTGATTATCAGTACATAGAGTATAGCTGTTGAAATGTAAATAAAATATAACATTTTAGCTTTGTTTTAAGCTAAGTAAAATTACCAAAATAGTTTACATGAGATTCATTGGTAATTATTGTATACAGCAGAGCATCGATTATCCAACCCCCGATTAACCGTCACATCGGTTAACCGACCGTTCTAGTCGGCAAAATTCAAATGTCCACTAGTGATGTGGCACTACAATATTTTGACTGTCTTGACTACTTTAATATTATTTTTGTTAAATTTTTGCGTGTTTTAGCTGGCAACACGTCTTGACTATTGAAGGGAGGCCAGTATTTAAACGAGACTTAATTTTCTAATTATGAGTGGTTGTTTGTTTTGTGAGCAATAAAATAACTTAAAAATAATTTTTAACGATGCAATAGCGACGATTATTATTTTAAAAAAATTGTTAGGATTAACATCGATGAAAATTTAACGTAAAGTTAATTAATAGTGATATACTAATATACTAATTACATGGGATATACTAATATACTATACTAATAATGTAATTTTTTCATTCTTTTCGGTTATCCGATTTTTTCAGTTATCCGACCAACCTGAGTCCCCAATTCAGTTGGATAATCGATGCTCTACTGTAATTTAATTTTATATTAATAGAAATTCGTATTGTTTAATATAAATGTTAATGTATATTTATTGATTTGTATTCAATATTAATGTTGATTTCTACTTTATAAATATCATATGAATTTTATATTTCAGGTTATTTTTATGCTTGTCAGTCAGCATTGAAAATTGATAAAAGTTCAGAAGAGAGTGTTGCATTCTTAACAGCAGCTTTGGATTGGTTGGAAAAGGTAATTTTTAATTTTTTAAATGAAGGATGATAATTAATCAATCTTGACTTTGTATAGTTTCTGCTGTTTTTATTAGAATGGAAAATTGTTGATTTTGAATAAAACATTTTTTACAGTTTGATTTTATTTCAAAGAAAAATGATACAAGAATATTCATGACTTATTTTTCTTATTTCCAAGACATTTTTAAAGAATTCTAGTCTTGTAGTTCTCTAGTATCTTCAGAATTTTTGCAATTCAAATTTTATTTGATATTTAATTTTTAACTTTTGTAAATTAATATTGCAAAATTTATTGACAAATTTAGTTAAAATAGTTCTTGCTTAATAAAAAAAAAAAGTTAAGTGCAGAGTTTATGTTTAAAGAAAAAAATTATATTTTTAACAAAAATATTTATTTATATTGAAATAATAAACAGATTTTTGATTTTAAAAAAATTCAGAAAATAATATAGTTTATTTTAAAACAAATTCTATTTAGTTTCATTTATTTCTTAAATAAAAATAATGTTAATCCTTCATTTTTTAAATATCATCCCTTAAATTATTTATTTATTTTATTGAAACAATATAAAAATAAATTTTATTATTTATATTATACTTATGTGTTTTTTAGATAAAAAAAGAGAAGTCTGATAATGAAGCTATACATAATGAAGTTGTTGCCCAAGCACACATGGAAAATTATGCTCTAAAGCTTTTTTTATGGGCAGATAATGAAGATAGATCTTCAAGATTTAATAAGTAAATTATTATGAATTTAATTCATTAAATAAAAAACAGGAGAAATTTTTAGAATTTATATTTTATTATTATGTTGGGTTTTGTGAGTTATACTCAGTTGACACTGGTGGCAGTGGCCTGATCAGAGTCAAGGCATAATAAGCAAAATAAAACAAAAATTAAAAAACTGTGTCAGTGTGTGTATTCAAGAATTGTAATGTGTCAGGCTTTTGTATAGTGTGTGTGGTATCACACCTGTACAGGAGAGAACAGATACAATAAGCACCTTATCCATCCTCCACAGATGCCTTATTTCCTGGGCGAGTTCTGTGTACTTGCTGATTTTTTCAGTGCATATGTTTTGTATATTATGAGTGTTTGGAACAGAGATGTCTATTGTATAAGTTATCTTATTGCATTTGTCAATGAGAGTGATGTCATGTCTGTTGTGATGAATTGTTTTATCTGTAATTATGGTTTTGTCCTAGTATAGTTTGTGTATGTGTTTCTAAAACTGCCTGAGGAGTATATTTGTAGTACTGTACCTGGTACAGTGGTACCTGGGTGTTTAATAATCTATTTTTATGTGCAAGTTCTTAGTGTATTATATTTGCTATTTGATTATGTCTATGTTAATAGTTTGTATATATAAACATCCCAAGAGTTTGATGTATTAATAATCATCCAACCATCAGCCAAATTAATTGGGCAGAATTATGCTATAAATATTAATTAGAAATTACATGATTAAAACACTATAGGTAGATGTTAGGTGCCATCTCTTAATGAAAGTAGTAACTATAAAAAAAAAAATAGTAATTATAATTTAATTTTAGAATAGTCTGGAAGAAAAGAAGAATCAGTCCAGAGCAGGAGTCAAACCCACAATCTTTGCTTACTGTGCAGTGCACTGACCAGTTACAACCTCTGAGCAATTTTTCCCTTCCAGACACATTTAAACTTTAGATATAACCATCCAATGGTTACCCATGATGCCATCTGGGATGTATTCAATGCCCACTTGCCTACTCCAACATGGCACTCAACCATTAGATGATTATATCTAAAGTTTAAATGTGTCTGGAAGGGAAGAATTGCTCAGAGGGCCAAGTGGCATAACTTAGACTATAAAAATTTCATTTTTTTTTTATGTCAAGCAGAAAAACTTATTTGAAGTAATATTTTATTTGCACATTTTCATTTGCAGAATTTTTAGAAAGAGTATTTTAATGAAATAGCACACTTCATAAAACACTCTTGACTTTTGACTTTTTTTATAAAAATTTGATTTTCTTCGTGTAACTCTTAAGATACTCTTTTTGTAAACACTGCAAATATAAAAAAGTGCTTGAAATAATGTTTTAATCATATCTACTTTTAGCTTGTGTTACATGTGTACTAAATATGTTTTCTTTTTTCTTAGTTTTCATTATTTATAATGAAAACTCTTACCATGTACTATTAGATATAGCAAGTTGTCACAATTTATGTGTACTTTGAGCACTTTAATACTTGAATGGAAAATACCTGATAATATAAAAGGCAGGTTCATTAGAAACCCAGAAAAGTGCTCCATTAAAACTCTGGATTAAGCAAGATCACAGTAATTTTGACACACAAAATTTATAATTCAGTATTAATAGTAATTGTACTGGCAGCACTATTGATGCATGAGAACATAAAACATTAGACTAAGAAAATGGTAGCATCTCTCTAGCAGTGCATGAAGAAAGAGTAGAATTTTTGACAAGCAAGGTTATAAAATTATTCATCCATCAGGGTATAAAAGTACAGTATACATATAACTGCATGAATCACAAGTTGCTCAAGTGTATGAGTAGAGTTTTAAATTCAAAAAGATTATTGAGATTGGCATTCTTTAAATATAGTCATACAATACTCGTGTACAGTAGTTCAAAATCAACAACTGTAGGATCAGCTTTTGTTTGTTTTGAGGCTGCCTGCAGAAACAACATTTCATACTGCAGAGCTGTTTGCAATTTTTATTGCTCTTCGGCATGTACAAAGCACAACCACAGTCGGTCTAATATATACATATTCATTCAGTGCACTACAGGCAATTAATAGTTGCAGGATAACAGACCATCCAACACTCAATAGCATACAATATCTACTATGTCTTAAACATGCAGGAAATATGATAGCCTTCTATTGGCTGCCTGTACATACTGATCTCCAAGGAAATGAAACCACAGACAAACTTGCAAAACAAGACAATAGAAACCAAGCAGGAACTTTTACCATACTATAAAGATCTATACAGCTGTATCAACAAATGGCAAGAGGATTGGAACAAACAACTCAACAATAAACCACACACTATCAAATTAGAGTTAATAAAATGGATACTAGCCACCAGAAAAACTGGAAAGAAGAAATAGTACTTAAGAGTGAACTGAACACACAAGATTAACACATAACTATCTATTAACGAAGGATACTCAACTGATATGCTCAACTTGCCAAACCCCATATGCTATCTGACATATATTAACAAAACAGCAAGAGAGCACTACCTTCGACAACATACATCTTTAGATGACCAAATTATTCTAGATGATGGATAAATTCAACCTACAGTGACATATCTGAAGGCAAGAACTCTAGAACATACATATTAAAACTTAAAAAACCTGGCAACAAAATTGGCTAGACCTGGCACTCTTTGGTCTATCTAGTCCCTTGTGCCACAAACTCCAACTCCAACCAACCCTTAAGTTCAAAAAGAGCTACAGTTCTGTGGAATATTCTCCAAATTTGGGATTGCATTGAATGTGTATAACTAGTGAAAGATTGCTAGAACAAAATACCTTCACATGACTTCAACATAAACATGGTACCTAATGGAGAAGCCATTGCTTCATAGTGAAAGTTTGTATGTGTAATGTAAGATCAGCATATAACAGACATGGGCAAATGTGGCTCCGAGAGCCACATGCAGCTCTTTCTGAAAGTGTTAATTTCTGCTTTTTATTATTAATTTTTACAATTTTATTTCCACAATTTTGTGAAAATATGTTTATTAAAAAAATTCAATATTTGTTTTATATTATATTTATATTATATAATAAAATCATGGTACAGAATAAAAAAAGTACAGAACTGTGGCTCCCATGCATTTTGAAAAACCTACATTTCGGCTCCCACTGAACTTTTGCTTGCCCACCCCTGGCATATAACCTGCCCCATCATATAATGTACTGTACATCCCCTTCAAATTATCTTCTTCAATACAAAAAATTTGAAGGATGTATGCACATAAATAGAAGTGAATATTCTATTAAAAATTTTTAATGGATGACATCTTTTTAATTGCAATTATTTGTGATATACTTAACAAAATGTTTAAAAATTTCGTGAAAGATTATGTTAATTTATTTACTAGTGGCACATTACAATTCAGAATTTTTGTTCTTCAGTATTTTAAAGCTCATCATAAAATATATTTTGGTAAAGTTTTTGACAACATACTGAATGTAATAACATTTTATTTAAGATGTTGATATTGTATACTTTTACGGTAATATTTTATGTGTATATTATTTAATATGTAATTTTAGTATTTTAACATTATTTAGATAAGATTTAATATTTATGTAAATTTAATTAATATTTAATCAATTTATTTTAGAAATGTTGTGAAAGCATTCTATACTGCTGGGCTTTTGTTTGACGTTCTTGCAGTATTTGGTGAATTGACTGATGAGGTGAGTAAATGATAGTTTTGATGATCCAGATGATATTTTTGTGCTATGTTTTATATAATTATACATTACATTATAATTTGAAAACAAATTAAATGCAATTATTTTAAATGAATAGGAAAGGAATTTTTTCCACTATATCAGTGGTTCCCAACCTTTTTTCATTAGCGTACCCCGTGACATGTCATATCTCTAGATTGTAACCCCTGACATGTCATATCTCTAGATTTGACATGTCATATCTCTAGATTTAAGAAATTTACCCCTCATTTAAGAAATTTAGTGAGTAACCGTATTGTTAATTTTACATATTGTAACTTTAAATTAAAGAAAAAAAACCTAAAAGAAAAAATGTATAATAAAGTTGTGNATAGCGTGATAATCAAGTAAATGTGAAAAATTGTATAATAATATAATTTGTTATACGTATGTATTATCTAAGATTTTATTAAACATTTTTTTCTAAATTTTTGTTTTCTTTAGTCTCCGGCCCCAATTAAAAATTATTTGTGTGTATTTATATGCGAAATTATACCCCGACTTACGTGGTTATTGCTCGGTCCCACCTATCGCGTAAGTTTGGGGTATTACTATAATTAATTGGAAAAAGAAGTAAGAGGTCTAGTTATATGAAGAAGATAAAAAAAATGGATGAAAAAGTCCTGAAAAATTTATCAATAAAAAATTGACTCATATCATTTTAGTGATTTTGCTATTCTTCTGATCTTAAATGGAATACTCTGAAACTTGGAATATGAAATTCATTTGCAATTTGTGATGTTATTTTTTTTTCTTCTTGCTTTTCTTTAATCTTTATGACACCTGTATTGTTATTAACAAAATGTTTAGTTTTCTCTTGTTGCCATTCTACCTGTTACTTTGGAATGAAAATGCCAACATCTGATTTAAATGTTAGAGAAATTTTTACAGTGTGAATGTTTAGTTATGAACAAGGAGACATGTATAAAAAAACTTATTAATTTGACTGGCCAAATTTTGTAAGTTGTTAGTTAAATCACAAATGTGTTTGTTACATTTTCAAATTTTCAAAATCTATAAAATTTTAAAATTCATGATTTTAAAGCATTAACATATGAATAGCAGTGGAATTTGGAAATATGATGTCCCTAAGCCCACAATATTCAACCATCCCCCAAACTAATAGTGCATTTTTGCACTGAATGATTTTATTTTGTAATTTTCACTCTTCAATAGTTGTATTTTTACAATTTTTTAAATATTGAAATCATGAAAAATAAATTTATTGTCTAGGATACTAGTACAATAAAATATTAATTGCTATATTGGTTTAATTGAATATTTTTTATAGAGGTTAAATCAAACTAAAATTTTGCTAAAATTACAATTCAATTGAAAAAGTTAACATAGTAGCGCACATAAATAATCTTGCACAGCTCTGATAACACTTAAAATTCAAAGTTTGTGCACAAGTATGTGATGTCTTCAAGTTTAGGCTGTCATCATCATCTACAACCTAAGACATTATAGACAAATTGTATTAAAATGAATGTAAATTTATGATGATATAATATGAATAACATAAAAATATTATTAAAAAAACTTTTATTATAACAAAAGAAAGATCTTCTCAAAATAAATTATGAATGTCTCATTTTGACTTAGTGTTTATAAAGTGATATATTTTAATTTTATTGCCATCTTTACCTTCAGTTGGAATGAAGCTAATGACAGCAAAAACTGTGGATAAAATTATAGTTAAGGAAAGGAACACAGATAAGAAAAAATGATTTTATTAAAGAAATTAGTGAAAAGTGATTGGAATATTGAAAAACTGTATAATATTGAAAAAGTATTTGTATCTGTTTAGCCTGTTTAAAGGAAAGCCCACAAAGAGGAAAATATTGTAATTTCTTAAATGCATCTGAGTAAAATAAAGTTGTTGATGGCCAGTATTTTTAGAGTCTGTGAATGTGACAACTTGAACAGTGTTTGAACCAGTTACATATTGAAATCAGCTATAATGTACTAACAACTGCCATAAATCACAAACTATAATTTGGAATAAATAATTATAAGTTACAAATGAATTTACGGCAGTTGTTGGAGTGTTGTTGCTTTGTATTAGGTTAGTAGGGTTGTTTATATGAAATCAGCTATATTCTCAAGTTGTATTTTTTTAATATTTACTATGTTGTCTTTGAGTTTGTTGTTTTGTATCAGATTATCATTGTTTCTTTAAACTGAATATAAATCTACACTGTTAAATGAAAAGTTTTCTCAAAATTTTAAAATTCAATTTACTATAATAATATAACTTTTTTTGCTATCAAATGACTTGTTGAGATTCATAAATATGACTTAATTTAAATTTAATTTATTTGAAATAACTATAATATTTTTATTTTTGAGATTATTATTTATTCAATTATTTATGATTTATTAATTTCTGTTGAGAGGTAGCTGATTATCAGTACATAGAGTATAGCTGTTGAAATGTAAATAAAATATAACATTTTAGCTTTGTTTTAAGCTAAGTAAAATTACCAAAATAGTTTACATGAGATTCATTGGTAATTATTGTATACAGCAGAGCATCGATTATCCAACCCCCGATTAACCGTCACATCGGTTAACCGACTGTTCTAGTCGGCAAAATTCAAATGTCCACTAGTGATGTGGCACTACAATATTTTGACTGTCTTGACTACTTTAATATTATTTTTGTTAAATTTTTGCGTGTTTTAGCTGGCAACACGTCTTGACTATTGAAGGGCGGCCAGTACTTAAACGAGACTTAATTTTCTAATTATGAGTGGTTGTTTGTTTTGTGAGCAATAAAATAACTTAAAAATAATTTTTAACGATGCAATAGCGACGGTTATTATTTTAAAAAAATTGTTAGGATTAACATCGATGAAAATTTAACGTAAAGTTAATTAATAGTGATATACTAATATACTAATTACATGGGATATACTAATATACTATACTAATAATGTAATTTTTTCATTCTTTTCGGTTATCCGATTTTTTCAGTTATCCGACCAACCTGAGTCCCCAATTGAGTTGGATAATCGATGCTCTACTGTAATTAGATATTTTATTCATTATATCGTACAATAATTAAACAAAAAACATTACAGTAATACCCCGACTTACGCGAACCTGGAGTTACGCAATTTTCAAATCTCGTCGATTCGTCTTTTGTTTGA